ATCACATTATCCGTCTGATTATCGTATTATCCGTCTGTCTATCACATTATCTGACTGTCTATCACATTATCTGACTGTCTATCACATTATCCGTCTGTCTATCACATTATCCGTCTGATTATCACATTATCCGTCTGTCTATCATATTATCCACCTGTCTATCATATTATCCGTCTGTCTATCACATTATACGTCTGATTATCACATTATCCGTCTGTCTATCCATTATCTGTCTGTCTATCATATTATCCGTCTATCATATCATTCATCTATCACATTATCCGTCTGATTATCACATTATCCGTCTGTCTATCAAATTATCTGTCTGTCTATCATATTATTTGTCCGTCTATCACATTAAACGTCTATCACATTATCTGTCTGTCTATCATATTATTCGTATGTCTATCATATTATCCGTCTGTCTATCCATTATCTGTCTGTCTATCACATTATCCGTCTATCACATTATCCATCTGATTATCGTATTATCCGTCTGATTATCACATTATCCGTCTGTCTATCAAATTATCTGTCTGTCTATCATATTATTTGTCCGTCTATCACATTAAACGTCTATCACATTATCTGTCTGCCTATCATAGTATTCGTATGTCTATCATATTATCCGTCTGTCTATCCATTATCTGTCTGTCTATCACTTATCCGTCTATCACATTATCCGTATAATTATCGTATTATCCGTCTGATTATCACATTATCCGTCTGTCTATCACATTATCTGTCTGTCTATCATATTATCCGTCTGTCTATCACATTATCCGTCTATCACATCATCCGTCTGATTATCGTATTATCCGTCTACTATCACATTATCCGTCTGTCTATCCATTATCTGTCTGTCTATCGTATTATCCGGCTGTCTATCACATTATCCGTCTGATTATCACATTATCTGTCTGTCTATCATATTATCCGTCTGTCTATCACATTATACGTCTGTCTATCACATTATCCGTCTGATTATCACATTATCCGTCTGTCTATACGTCTGTCTATCACATTATCCGTCTGATTATCACATTATCCGTCTGTCTATCATATTATCCACCTGTCTATCATATTATCCGTCTGTCTATCACATTATCCGTCTGATTATCACATTATCCGTCTGTCTATCATATTATCCACCTGTCTATTATATTATCCGTCTGTCTATCACATTATACGTCTGTCTATCACATTATCCGTCTGATTATCACATTATCCGCCTGTCTATCATATTATCCACCTGTCTATTATATTATCCGTCTGTCTATCACATTATACGTCTGTCTATCACATTATCCGTCTGATTATCACATTATCTGTCTATCACATCATCCGTCTGTCTATCACATCATCCGTCTGCTTTCCAGTGGAATTGAATGTTTAATATTTTTGCGTATACTTTTCAAGAGTTATATACCCTGGAGAGTTTTACATTAGCTGCAGTTAGAAACCGATTTCGAGGTCATGCGATTGACAATGACTCTACGATAATTACGTTATGTCATGTTTTAAACATGCTGCAACGAAATCGTTCCTTCTGTTTGATTTTTTGAAAGTCGTCTCAAAGTTTTTTTTTATCTTTGCTAGCCAATTCTCGTCAAAACGAAACTTCCCAGATTCTTTCTATAAAATCCCATCCTAAAATGAAAACACGTTCCAGATCTTTTATATAAAGCGCTTATTTGTGATATTATCAACCATAAAAAGTTTATCCTGTTGAATCCTATTATCATTTTACAAATAGGCAGGTGCACCATATTATTCGTCTGGTTCGGGCGCATATCATATTTCCATTCTGAAACGACTGGAACATCATCCATATATGTATATAACGTCTCCTGCATAATGCGTGTCCTCTACGACATATCTATATATACAACAGGAGATACTTTTATACAGCTGAGGTACACCTTATATATACGTTAAATATTTATAATGTAATACTATAGTGTTCTTACATGTTGTCCCCTATATATCCCAGGGTAGAAATAGATATATCGGAACAAACAAAGAATTAATCACGAGCGCCTTTATCATTTGATCAGTTGTGACCTTGCAGTAAATTTAACCTACACGTCGACAATTCTGTACGATTCTACTTTAGACGTGTCCATTCAGCTAAGCCCGAGTGACAAGATTACAGCTGGTCTATTGTTAGGTTCAATACGTGCAGAAGTACAAAGCATTTTTATCTTTTTATCGTAATTACAGTGAACGTTCCAGATATGCAAACCTGGTAATATTCCTTTTAATCTCGCATAGAAAATTGTAACTATTATTAGTGAGAGAAGAATTATCCACGGGAGTGATCGAAAATTGTATTGAAAAGGGACCTTGTAAGTCCTGTAAAAAGAGCAACAGACAGACAGACAGACAGACAGAACATTGGTTTAGATTTTGACTACAGGAAATCTGACATGCACTATGTGTTTAAAGACAGATATACAAAATTAAGACCCTGTTTGGCAGTATGAGATATATGTTGGACAATCATACAGGTCTACTAAGTAGAACACAGCCTTACTGTTTGAGACATTTGTTGACATTTTTTAATTTTTAATTTAATAATTTCATTATTCTTTCCGAAGTGTCCGAAAGTAAGATACCTAGGTATGGCATGTTTTCTGAACTCATTAAGTGAATTGTTTTTGTTTAAAAGAATGGAATTTATTTTACAGTTAAACCAAATGTGACGCTTTGCAGATCGGAGAATTTCTGCTAAAATTTGTCCTGATTGAACCAGTGATGAACTCAGAAAACGTATGACTGTAAATAGACAACATGCTTAACAGATTAATTTTACTCATAAATAAACTTATTCATAAACCTGCACCACATTGTACACTCGTGTTCTGTTCAAGATGACGTCATCGTAATTGATTAATTGTCGAAATAAACGCAAAGAGTCTCTGAAGAGTGTTATCACAAATTGTGTTCTATATATATAATTGGTAGTACATTGCACATATCACATTTGTATCTTCTGTATATATACCGTGGTATACATTGTAGTACCCAGTGTCATCTCTAGAAACTCTTCTTTTCATAATACGGAGTCTTCAAAGCACATCGTGAGTTTGTTAACCGACATTTAGTATCTTGTGTGGTAAAAACAACTTGAACTCATGGGTTTCGTGCACGATATGTACAGCTGTGAGATCGCACAACGTTACATGATTCTATCGTGGTTGATATAAATTTAGAAATGACTTATAAATAAGTGTGGGATAGTGTTTATTTATTTTCTAAATATATGAAAATACAGCTAAGTAGACTTCCTAATTAAACTATTAGTATATAGCTTGGACACTTGTATATATGTCAGATACACGCTGAATAGTTAGATACACTCGTAATTTTGAATGTTACACAGGGCTGGCGTTAGTGTACGGACACACATTATATATGTAAACATTAAATGGACGTCTCTTTATGTCACAGCGGTGAGTCGTTTAAAATTGCATACCGTCAGAAAGGATTTTTTATTTCCGTTACTTTTGTATTACTCTCATTTTTCATTCTTTTTTGTAAAAAAAAAGTATGCTCAGGTAAATCTTAAGTTTTGTGTTTTACACGGGCGCCCCTGCCGGATCGGATCCGGACCTTTCATGTATATACCCGTATACAGGTAACTTTTGTTGCCTGAGGCACCACTCCTCGCCACGCATTGAGGTGTGAAACTTTATACTATAAGAATAATCAATGCAGGTCAAGTGGTTTTTCGAAAACTGTCGAATTAAAAATGACTTTTAGAATCATCGATCAATTCTAATGTTCACGTGATCGCTATTTAGTTATAACTTCACGAATTTTCCGTTTAATTTTCAATCCGTAATATTAGCCAAACATCTTTACCAAACCGCACAAAATGTGCGATCCTGTCGCACAATTGTGAGCACGATACTGTATCGTCGGTGTGTGCGCACGATCTGCGCACGAAAGTTTTGGTGAGTTGTGCGTTACCACAACTGTAACTTCCGGTGTAATTAAACATAACTCTTTTGTTATGACTAACTGATTTGTTTGTATATGGATCTTAACACAGGGAAGATGGACAAGCGCAATGCTCCTTCAATGTCACTCTAATGTTTGAAGATGATAGTTATAGTCACCACCGGAAAGTTACAACACCGTGTGTATGACCAAGACGTTCATTTTTCACAGTGTTATGACTTTTCTACCAATATCTGCCAACTATAACCATATGTACCGTATTAGGATGCAAACAAAATAAATAAATAGGAACACAGTATAAAAGAAGCACGTGATCTACTTTTGTTTTCAGATTAACAGGTCTACCACCAAACACCTTTATATATATATATCCAAAAATGATAGTTCCATCACACCGTTTTCATAATTTGAAAAGTTGCATCATATGAGGATAGTTATATGAAGACATACTGCTTTTCGCCTTCTGTCTGATTTAAGATCAACACGACCTGATATTACCAATTACTTTATTACCAATTTGAAATCCTGAGAATCTTTAATATTCCGGTTGATTGTAATACCTGTACAACTTAATGGTTACTTAATGTTAATCCGTGTTTTTTGTTTGTTTTTTGTTTACTGGTTTCGTTTTTATTTTTTGAAGCATATCAGTAATATCAGCCACATGTTGTACGAAATGTAATATTAGTATTAGTATAGAAATATGATCTCAACTATATCTTATCTCATCTAATATGTTGAACCTCACCTCCGACATCACGTGCAAATTCATGTTTTTAATTAGTATATATGGTACGAGTGTGTAATGACAGGCAATATAATGAAAAAAGGGTACTTTTAATCGACTATCGCGAAAAAAATATTAAAAATATTTACATTTTGAAAAATTGTGATGCCAAATGTGAAGAAAAATTTGCATATTGAATAAATATTACGACAAATAGCATTTATTCATGTATTCTATGAATCTATTACATACGATGCATTTAACCGCTTGCTTCTTGTGGTAGCAGGTAACCAAGCCATTTTATGATATGGATGAAGATATATTATTTGAGGAAGGAACAGAGAGAAAACCAGAGGAAAAAGGAAAATGGTCTTCGAAGTCTGAAGCGCTGATAGTTCTTCTTGGCTATTCTATTGGGCTTCCTGAGACATGGAAGTTACCATTCCTCGTGTACAGAAATGGTGGAGGTAGGTGTCTAAATTATTATTTCGTTTTAATGTTTAAACAAATTGTTCATTCAATATTGTTTAATATCATCCCGAGTGTATGATTTATCTGTTGAACATGCTTTTATGACCTTTTCTAAGCGTTTTATAGATAGGACTATGAAGGCTACATCTGTAGATAAACATATTGAGTATCAACCATAATTTTGCATTCATTATCGAAATAATATGCTTGGAGATTACATTTCATAAATCTTTGTAATGTATTTGTAAGATGTCATTCAACTACTTTTGAAGAATGAGAAGTGCATAACCAATAGAATTAAAAAGTCACTAACTTAATTATATTACATAAAATGACAAATAGATCTTGAGATCTTTTTTCTGGAGTTTGAGTTTACTTCCTATAATTGCCATAATAACAAAATATCGATATATCTTCAAAATAAATTTTTTTTCACACAAAATATTGAAAACATTTCAGTTTTTTTGTACTGAATGAGTAAATTCTTGACAACAACATGAACAGAAGTTTTTTTATGCGAATTTTTTGTAACATTCCTCTCCACTACTTTAGAGTTTCAAAATAATTTTGAAATTACTCACGATTCTCGTTGCAAGGTACATGAAATCAACACATTCAATTATCATACGAAATTTTGTATACATCTACTAGTCAAAGAAATAACAGCCAAAGTATTTCAGAGGACATTGTAGTTATGTAGTTGTGTAATATTTGTTTTTTCAGGAGCATTTTTGATCCCTTACGGCCTTTTAATTCTGTTATGCGGATACCCACTGTACTTCATGGAACTTGCCCTCTCCCAGTTTGCTGGCGCCGGACCATGGCAAATTTGGAATATTTGTCCTATGATACGAGGTAAGGTATCCTTCTAAGGTTGCCAACAAACAATTTTAACTGAAAAATCCATCTAGTGATTTCAACATAACTAAATTCGTCGACTTAATAACTACAATTTAATGGGGCTAAATGGTACTGACAATTCACCTTTACAGTGTATAAAACAAACAAAAAAGTGAAATCTTATGTTTGTTCTAATTACAACCTTTAATTGGAGATGTAAGCTCATTGCATTTGACTCCTATTATTCCTTTTGATAAATCTATGTTCTCCAAACAGCTAGCAGAATATTAAGGAAGATGTTTTCCTTATATATCGTTCAGGTTTCGGACTGTCTATAGCGGCAATCAACCTGCTGACTGTTATATTTGATAACATAGTGCAGTGCTGGGCTGTAGAATATCTCGTTAACTCATTTAGTACGGTGTTACCGTGGACAACATGTGATAATTCTTGGAACACACCAAACTGTACGATCTTCATTAACAACTCCAATTACTCAGCGAATTCGTCGTTATCAAACTTTTACGGAACTGTACAATCTAATGAGACAGGTGTCTGGTCTAATGAAACAAGGGTAAGATTTAAACCGTATCTATATATAGTATTACTATCCACTTTATAAACTGTTTACTATTAAATGGGAATTTATCGGTACTCTTTGCTAGTTGAAAATGAGACGAATATATGATGTACAGTTGTTTGGGCAATACGTGACATTATTTTGGTTTTGTATTATTTGATAGTTTTAGCATTCGTTGACCACACGAGGACACAATCAACTTTAAGATAGATATATAAGAAAAGAACGTGCTGTATGAAATGTAGCTGGCCGATACTTATTCCCTTTGTTTTATGGCTCTGTATAAAAGATATCAAGATGAAACAGCATCGTAATAAAGAAAATTCCCTTTACAAAGCTGAGATTTAAGATAGTATCAATACTAAGTTCCGATCCTCTAGACAGTGACCTTAAGTAGGAGATGTGGTAAGCCGCGACCCAGCATTCTGAGTACCTTCACATGCTCTAATATATGAACATGATTACACACGAATCACATACATTTTACCCTTAAAGCTATCATGGAGCAAGTTAACTTAAATAAAAATGATATTTTTAGCAGTTATTTTTTCTTTGATGTAGCATACTTACAAAGCCGATCTAACAGGAATAATTATTGAAATGAAATTGATGAGACGAGTCTGCGATTTTCTTGTCATTTATCGATCCTCTGGCGAGGTAGAATGTAAATAAACCTCATATCGAATCACATAACTCAGATACATACAAATATTTATAACAATAGAATTCTATTCGACTGACACACATTCGGTATTGGCGATATTCGATGTCTCTTTCTTTGATGACGCAATAAAGTAGTGACATCACAAATGAACTAAAGCGAACCTTGAGCTAATCATAGTTCTACTAGGTCATGTTCACCATGTGTAATGATGGAGATTAAAAGGGCTATTTAGTCAAGTTTGTTGTTTTTTTTTTCTAGTTACAAATTTATCCGTGACAATGTAGTTCTATAATCGTTATGAACTAACCTCGCCGACAAATTGATACAAGCGCGTGTTTTCCATCGTTTTTTAAAATTGATTATATGGGAAATCCTGATCGTCTGTATGGCACGATAAAATGCAAATTAGCAAGCCGCCTATGCACACTTTGACATGTGATCATGCGCAAACGCGTCTGAAAAATACTAAACAAAAATGGCTTCTCAGTCGAAGTGTGTCCGTGGCAAACGGGTCACGTCATCGCACACAAAACGTAGAAAAGGCCAGTGACAGAAAGCTCACTCTAGAATAACAATAGGAGAGCAGTACGAGAAGTGGGACAAGTTCAAGAAAGAAAACTTTTTCCAAAGTAATGAAGAAGTTGTGAAGACTCTCCTAGACTGTTTGTCATCATCGCTGGTGATAACCCATCAAATAACAATTCACCGTGAATTTTAGTAATTTTTATATGTTTCACAAAGGTTTACCACGCAATTTCTTTCATGATTTCCTTACGAAAGGAGTTAATGTGAAATCAGACTCACCGTTTCGTCACTTGATGCCTCCAAATCGCGTGCATTTGTTTACAAACAGTCTTCTTCCCGCCAGAGGGCGCAACGTTTCGCGCTATATTTGCATTATCGCTAATTTTGGCGGGGGCTTCCCCAGATTTTAAACTGGACATTGGCTACGTAGGAGAAAACTATTATGTACAGATTTGTTAGTCTGGACACATATATTTTCATTTCCAGCTGAATAGAAAAAACGTTGCTTCACTAAATAGCCCCTTTAATGAAATGGACGTTATTACACGTGTTAGTTAAGTGATAAGAGATTATCAAAGCTTTTATTTTCATAGCATTCTGGAGATGGATTTACAGTGGATAATCCGTTGGTGCAGGTATCTGCTGTAGAAGAATTTTGGAAGTATGTGAACTAGACCTGCATTCCGGATATTTTCATGACTTCGGATAACATCTTATATCATCTTTATGATCATGCATTAGTAACCGTTTTTTAACCTGAAAACTTTTAACAATTTTTTATTATTTTAATCTTAATTTTTTTGGCGCAAAAAAAAAAAAAGAAATTCTACATCATCTGTCGGTTGCAAATGTGTCCTTTCATATTGTCAACCAGGTTAATAACTTTCTTATACATTCTAAACAATCGGAGATATTTCCATCCATTCTGATATGGCAAACAGTTTGTTTTTGTAAAGATTGGTCAATCTGTTAAAACTCACATTCATTAACAGGTTCAAGATTTTAAGGGTATCCAGTGGAATCGAAGATATTGGTGACATCAACGGAATGTATCTATTGTATATTGCAATCATCAAAATTATTGTATGTTGCGCTATCGTGAAGAGTATTAAATCACTTGGAAAGGTATGTTAGTTGTTCCTTTACCAAATTCATGCTTATTTTTTGATTAATAGAAAAGTGCTTTTTTTCACTCAATTTCAAGTATGACTTAAAGATTGAAAAGAGATGCGAGACTGAGTATACATTTCAACAGGTGATGGTGGTGACGGCTATACTGCCAGTGTTCATTCTCATCGCGATCTTGGTTCGAGCCATAACGTTGCCGGGATCTGCTGCTGGGATGCTGTATTTCATCTATCCGGATTTTTCAAAATTACTAAATGTTCAGGTAAACGGTTTACACCCCAGCTACAGCAATTATGTAAAATATTGTAATAACATCCCTTTGATAATCTATTATTATGATAGGATTGAAATTCTGAAATTTTTATACGAGTTCGGGAAATTCATATCATTTTACCAGGAATTTCTTTTTCTGAAAACGATATTTTCATTTCTGTATTCATCCTTTGCTTTACTTTCCATGCTGTCCCGTACGTACTTATAAGGGATATTTATCCATCTCAAATTTTGTCACATAATTTATCAAATAATCATATTAATGAATATGGGCGCCATATGTTTACTTTTAACGTATGTAATAATTTGTCATAATAACGACAAACAAGAAAAATAAAGCATGACATTTTCCATATTAAAGGAAAACAAATAAAAAATTGGATACAAATGTTAAAAATTGAAATAATACAATGAAATGTCAAAAACTGAAATTGACAAACCGGGATATAAAAAACATGAAATTATTATTTTTTTCTGCATTTTTTTTCTAATGGCTTGCAGTACAGAGGTTTCTTCTGTTGATCATTTGCTTTGTTTACCAAAAAACGCTAACTATTTTAAAAGATTTTTTGACTTTAATGTAAGGGAGAAAAATCCTATTGCTCTACTTGACACACTTGAAATGAAAACAAAATTACAAAAGTGACATAATAATGTGCAAGCTTCTGTATGTATAAAGTGTGCCTTCTATCTATACGATCAGCCAGGCCCATATCAGAAGGTATTTCATATAACCCTTCGAATATGAAAAATAATGTAAGTTTCTTTGATTTTTTGTATCGAGAAATTTTATCGCATTACAAACAAACGGTATACATCGCATGCGAGGTCGTTGTACTTATATCAAAGATTTATTTAGTCACTGTGACTTCAGGATTTGTATATTTCAGTCTCTCAAAGTCATAATGTTTTGTAAGATTTGATATATTTTTTTCTAACTTTTTAATGAAGTTTAAATGTGTTTTTATTGACATCAGCATTCCAATGATTCCGTCTTTCCCAGGTTCTTTTTAACATCTATCATAGCATTTTGTATCTTTGTTTTATTCATTTATTTGCGTTTGTTTGTCATAGTTGACGTTAACGTTAAAGCAAATTAATCTCATCATAAATTGAGCAGATTTTATATTGTTACAGATATGGGTGGAGGCAGCTTTTGTAGCATTCAACACACTAGGACCAGGCTGGGGCGGTCTTATGATGATCGGGTGCCACAACAAATTCAACTACAACTGTCTGAGGTTTATTACCTGTAACATCTCTCTGATGTAGATTATTGTACTTAATGTACTTTATATACAACTTGATCAAAGAAGTGGTTACGTTTTTCTACTGTGGGAAAAAGCAAAACACACCAACAAAAGCCTTGTCGCAATTCCACAATTTATTCACACACGGAATCACCATGGTGTCAAGTATCTGTTCAAACGACGTAAGAAAATTGTATTGCGGACATCTAGAGCTACAGAAATTTGTTATATGTCATTATTGAAAAAATTATCGCGTTGTATATTGATGATACTGTTATCTATTTTGTAAATAAAGACAGAGAAAGTAACACGGCCTGAAAAAAGAGAGAGAAAAACAATTTGTCATAAAACTGAAATCCTCGATAATGTAATCATCAGTCTTTAGTTAGACAATATAATCAGTTTGTACATTTCATAATACATACAGGGCCTCGTTGATCTCTTCCATTTCCGTGCTCCTTATTGGTCTTTTCAATGGATTTGTGGTGTTTGCCACAGCTGGAGTTATGGCCCACGAGGCGGAAGTCCCCATCGAATCCGCTATCACCTCTGGTAAGAAAAACCCTGAAAGCTTCACATGGTTTCTTTAATCATTCCAGTTTTGTTTATAAAATATCCTTTTCCATGATGCTGGTATAAACACTAATATGCCGAAAAATCCGATCATAAGTTTACTGCTTCTGATACTATTTGTGTATCATGTAAATGGATATTTGTCATCACTAATGCTAAAATATCATAGGTTGATAATTTACATGTACATAGATTCAGAAGAAAAACCAGTTCATGTATTTGTTAAGAATAACAACAAAATGAGTTGTAAAAATCTTATTCGAAAATTAAGAGTTATTTTTCTATACCAATTTGTACGAAACGAGTGTTTATAATTAATGATTACCTGATCGATTGATAAATGTTATGGTTTAAAACTATTGTTTCTAAAAGCAAAATCATTATAAAAAGAATGTATTTTCATTTATTGCAGGTGGATTTTCTATCGGATTCATTGCATATCCTAAAGCTTTGAGTTACTTCCCTTTGCCACAGGCATGGTGTGTTCTTTTTTATCTAGTCCTGATACTGCCAGGGATTGACGCACTAGTAAGCTAACAATCTACGTCAAAACTGTCCCTTTGATTTCTCCCTATATTGATGATCTTATGAATGCTGATATGAACGTTTACATACTAACGGATCTCGTTTGAAATGTCCTGCTGAATAACTTTTTGCTCTCTCTCTCTTTGCTGTCTGTGATAAGTCCATGTCTCTTATAACACCACATAATAACCTGTTATTCATTGTTTTTAATAAGTCCATGTTTTTTAAACGTTTCTTATGTATTTTAGCGATTTCCGTTTAATAACCCTTGTATACTCTTTTAAAAAGTCTGATTACATTATACGTTTGTCGATTTTAATACTAGGTGTGTCTTAAGGTTTCTTCTTGATCTATTCCCGCTAGACAGTGTTGCTAGCGAACTTTATTATAAGAGATGCCATATTAAGATTCATAAGAAATGTGGCCTGGTTCTATATTTATGCAGGTCAAAGTCGTCTTAGATAATTTAATAAGAATATATCATATTTGATGCTTTAGGATAGGAATTATTGCACTTCCCTTTGAGTTTGTGATTTGGCATAAACAATTTGTATTTAAAAGTAGATTTCAACTGTATTTGTGTTCTAGTTGACATTAGTCCCCAAAGTTTGCCATACTTGCACGATAATTACTATACACCTGTAATGAAGTATTGAAAATGTATACAATTGCGTTGTATGAAGTATTTTTCAGCCGATTTTCATTCTATATAGTTGTATCTTGGAGGCGCTTTTTCTTTTTTCTTTTATCAATGATGTATCTGTAATAAATGAGTTAATAAGAAATTTTGAATCTGTCTTAATATATGTACTCGCATGCTTGCATTTGTTTTGAACAATAATTTTTTCCATTAAACAAAATAGTTTATGTTATTGCAGAGGGTAATTGCGTTATTTGTTGCCTTTCAGACAGTGATGATGGAGCCTTTTTTGTTAGTTTTGGAGGAAATGTGTCCATCCTATCTTCAGAACAGGCGTGTAGCCCTTCTCACAGTGACTTCAATTGCCACATTCGTTATTGGCATCCTATTCGTAACACAGGTAGGTACAGCAACCTCATAAGTTGGATTTGGATCAGAATCCAACGTAGCTGCATTCCAGCTCTTCTGGGCTGTTTGCTGATTTCTGTTACTAAAAGTTTTTCGATTGTGAATGATCTGTTCACACAACATTCAGGACTATCAATGTTTTCTCCACTTAGACTTCTATAACAGTTAGTTGTCAACCGAAAGTCAATATATGTTTCATACATGTCTTTTAATGTTACCGTTTAAAAAAAATAATGGTACGTCTATTTCTTGGTTTTACTTGTATTCAAATCATTTAAATATTATATAGACAAGAATGCCAACTGCATATGACCTCTATCACTGAATAACTTTTACTTGTTACAGGCTGGTGTATACATATTTATACTGGGGATATGGTATATAGCAACGTGGAATATAGTTGTAATCTGTATGGTCGAGGCTGTCGTGTTTGGATGGGTGTATGGTATGTTATCACCTATATATATTTTAATTTCCGTTATTGATAAATACACATTAAAATTAAATCAGAATAAAGATACCAAGAACGTATTGATAATGTTGGTTATGTAAGAAAGTTTTACCTTTAGACTAACAATCTATTGTGTTGGAGTACACGGATATCATTTTGTGCATATAAACAGGAAGATTAATGCTCATTTCTGTCTATAAAGATCTTTGTAATAGAAAAAAACACGAATACTTACACATTGAAATTGAATGACATCATTCTTTTAACGATGGTAATTTCCTCAAAGTGTCATCTCTCATCTTCCATTGTTTGTTATAAGGCATTTCCAAAATCACACAGTGATATGCTTTATATGTTCATATCATGTGCTTTTGAAATCATTCCATGCATTCTTGTGAAAATCTAGGGATGAAAGTGCCTGTCAAATGGAGATTTTAATGTTAGAATCTAAAGGCTTTTATCTGAGTGGCCAAATAATTTCTAATCGAAATGTTTTATCAACGCATGTGTGGTTTTATTTACAAATGGTAATCGGATTTGAACCTCGGTCAAGATAGAATAATTATTCAGCAAACGTTTGGCAGACAATTTTTCATAGATCTTACCTATGTCAAATTATGTATTCGTTTTGACAGCTGTCTCTGATATATTTCAGGATGCAACCGTTTAGATAAAGATGTGCAAATAATGCTAGGTCGGCCTATGCCCGGACCTGTAAGGATTAGCCTGGCATTCATCATACCTATATTTTTATCTGTAAGTAGTAGGTCATTTACGTGGTATGTGACAATAGTATCGTCAAATGACGAACATGTTTAGATAAAGTCCTTTCGATTTAGACAAAGGAGTTTACAATTTCCATGTCCAACTTCTGTTCAAAACCTGTATGTTAAAGTTACTTTCTCATTTGCTTTTACGAAACAGTTTATACTTTTCAGTTGTAATATAGTCATAAATGCACGGACTTCGATATTCATTGTGAATACTATTTACTTGTTTGCGACAGGTGCTTCTGGTGATCAGTGTAGCTACATATCGTACCCCAACATTCGGTAGTTATGAATATCCAGGATACGCAGCCGTTATTGGCTGGATTCTTACCTTATCAACACTCGCGCCTGGAGTTGTATACGCTATTTATACGATATCAACACAAAAAGGAAATCTACATCAGGTAAATAATCTCTTACACACTCGTATTGCAGTTAATATTTTTTCTTTTGGGTTTGACAAAACTGATTTCAATAATCTTTGCATTAAACTTCACCATCAATGCATTTTATTACTTTTTTATTATTATCTTTAATTTAATTAGCAATTAGATTAAATATATATATTCCGTAGGGAGTTGGAGGGTGTAAGGATTCATCAATAGAATATAGATATCACGTATTGACAAAACTAAATATAAACGGTAATACTGCGGTCTACATGTATGTGATGCATAATTTGTACTTTATCGAACAGTGAAAGGTAAGATAAATCTCAATAAATAAATTTTACATCTTTCAAAAACATATAAAAGGATAGTTTTCCCCCTACAAGACTTGTTGGAAAATAAGAGAAATAAGAAATAAGAAGAATCGTTTATATATATATATATCTTTATTGCAACGATCTATGTTTTGAAACAATTTTAATGTGATGCCCATTACATGTTCATGAAATCTCCATTGACCAGAAAATAATGGTATGTATTATACATTATACAGAGGATAAGCACAACAATACACATTTGTTTTACATTTAGTAGTTGCTTTCTTCTTTCCAGAAATGTCGGAAATCCCTGCGTCCTAATAATGCCTGGTATCCAGTAGAACCTAAATATAGAGAAATCTGGAAGAGGGAGAACTACGATAACCAGTTGACTTGGAAACAACTATTTTTATACAATCTCTTGGGGGAAATGAGACATTCCGATTCAACTCAAGTCGCCAAGGATGAACAATACTCACTCAAATCATTAACATAACAATTATTTCAAACTTCGATTGCATCCAGAATTGTTCTGTCTCCGTCTTTTTCTTTTGTTCATATTTTGACATTGGCTTATTGAACTGGAGTTTATGTTTGGTATGTTGGTAATTTCCCGTCTTTAGATCGTACTCAAATATGATATTGTTTTGTGAAACGGGATAGTGTCTGTAAGATATATAGTTTTGGTTATTATCATTGTATGAAACTCGAATGCCGCTCCGGGCTTTATGTTAATAATATCAAAAGAATGGTCTTATCCACAAAATAAAACTTTCACAGCAACAACATATCAATATATCCATGTAATCTTCGTTTTGTTTGGACCAATATACCGACACATTTTATAGCACGTTTAGTCGTGAAAGTATTAGATTTTTGTTGTGATGAATTAACTTTATGATTGGGATGCTTCAATTTGCCTCTACCTAATAATTGCTTTAATAGACGTTTCACCATTAAACCCATATATCCATTTCAGCGCACGAAGCAAATACAAAGTTGTGATGAAGTAGCTTAATGATTTTCGATCATGTCATGTCATGTAGGTTGTAATGTGCGCTCAATACTCCTTGTGTTCGACGAATTGTTTTCACCAAATATGTTTGTGCACTGTAGGAATGTTTTCTGACCATATTCTAGTAAATCCAATGGCGATTTTCGTCATGATGATCACTTTAGGATCATCATAAATAGGGTGCTATTTGCAACATTTGTATTGATTTGTCAATTTCTATTTCAAAGCTTAAGTGAAAAAGTAATTTTGTAAATATTTATGATAGCAAGAAACTTAATTTATCTGTGATTAATGTGACTTAGCTGTGTGTTTTATTTATACTTATAATCTTCATCTGAATTAGTATTCATTATTGTATTTGTGTCCTAGTGGGGTAAATAAACTATATGCATCGATCATATTTGATTAAATTTATAGATGAAAGACAAAAATGTAATTGTTATATCGATTTGTAGCCTTTTAATTTTGACGAAATACTACAGCATATTATTATACACCACCAGCTGTATCGTTACCAAATTGTAATACCAATTTAACTCACTGTTAAAGCTTATTCCTTCGTTAGATCATCCAACAGAATATTGGCACGTACATTCCAACTATCGACAAACTTAATTTTGTTTTCACAGGAGTCTGAACTCATCGACGAGATTATCAAAGCCAGTCACAGACACCTTGCAATGTCATTCAATTTCAGATTAATTCAACATGTGATTTATTTACTACGTCCATTCTATACACCCACCAGAACATGAAATAAGAATAAGAACTCCGTATACTCTTGCATATTTATTTCATTTATTTTCTCGATCTTTTCCTTTAACGAAACAACATAGAAAGCTTTTCATCAAGCTGTATGATAAGCATGATGGTTTCAATTTCCTTATTATGAATTTCGTATTTGTGGATGGCGACAACCTTGCGTTCCCAGCCTATGGTGTTTACATGTCTCAATCGATTCGATATTCAAGGGACAGTTTCCAATATGACAATTTAAATATTATCTTCAATTTAAGGAAATAACCTATGTATTAATGTAACTGGAATACACAAACAATAAAATCCTTGATTTCACGTACATTTATATGAACCTACAAATCAATCGTCTCAGATTTATCTTTGCTGACATGCCTTTTGGAATATCTGCCAGTGAGGTTGAAGAAGAACTTCTCCCGGAACGACAACTGATCGTTTCTTGAAATGAGTGGCGGTGTGAGGTATGAGCAGGCGGGACTCCAGTCTTCCATTGGCGTTGTCAAAACCGAAAAACGCTAGAACAGAAACGAAGACCAAGTGAGAAGATAGCATTTTCAGAAAAATAGTAATTATTGTTCCTTATTAACAAATTTTTTGTGTTAAAGTTTTGACACAAGGAAATATTTTTAATCAAAGATATGAATATCATAATTCATTAGTACCAAAATTACAATCTGGAAATGAACACAAATTAATTCAAAACTAAGGAACGTGCACAACCTCGAAAGTCATACAAAAATCTCATAACCACAGAAAATAAGAATATATATATAATATAACATAAACGTTTGAATTAAGAATTATTATGTAATGTTGCAGTACCATTTTCAATGAACCTTTCTGTTTCAAGAGTTGTCTCCCTGCGTAAAGAACGATGGGTACAACTGATAACATGGAGATACACCAGCCGATAGGTGTGGCGTAGGCAGGATAGTTGTAGGTTCCAAAAGTAGGTGGGCGGTACGTGTACACACTTACTCCGAGTAGAAACTATGGAAAGAGTTTTAATGCATCACCTTAGGATGATTTTAATGGGACTTTAATGATCAGAGGACTGTCTTTTAGACAACATATTACGTCTTTGATAATTAAAAAACTGTTCATTATGTAAGTTCATGTAATAACAATCTTAAACATATATTTGCCAATAGTGTGTCTTTATAAGGTCTTCGAATAAGACATGTCGGTTTATTATTCAGGAATATTGAAATACCAAAGATTTTGTTCAACATACCAACAGAAATATTGGCATAATAAAAGCGCAGCTAATCCTGATGATTGCTGGTAGTGGTCTTCCGAGCATCAGATTGATATCTTGGTCAATCCTGTAGCCGCCTTCAAAATTCAGTATGTACAATTCGTGATAATAAATATTTGACTTACATGAAATAACCCTGTACTTAAGAATGTTTTTTTTATATAAAATTGATTTGAAAATAATTCTGCAAATTTCAAACGAAATAATGTATTGATATTCAACCAACTTGAAAGAATATGGAATTTCGATTTTCTAGTACCTAGCCAAGTTCGATGATAATCAATAAGTGCACCTGTATGATTGCTGTTCTATATAAAAATATTGACGATAAGTATGAACCATGTAATATTGAAAGTTGCTCTGTAACTATCATAGAGTAAATGCATTTCCAAATCCATATCTGGATCTATTACGACCAAATTAAGTTTTTCATTAGTTGCCTCCAAGGTTTTAAAAACTTTATCATCAATAACGAGTCCAGGATGGTGAAATAGGTGTGTGGTGCCGTTTCATTTATCAGCTGGAAATAACGTGTCGAAATTACTATTTTTATTGAAAGGTATTATTCACTTATGTATCTTTTTCATAATCTTTTCATAACAAAACCGCAATGTGTACTTCATTTGTATACCTTCCTTCCAATAGATTATTTGATTAACGTGTTTTTTTCTTACTTGCTTGCTAAGCAATCATTCTTTAGATACCTACCGTATATCCAAAAGAAAACTATCGATTCCCCAATGCAGATCAGCATGATACTCCATGTCGCAAGATACCAGTCCACCAATTGAAACATATAAACCCCGGCCTACAACAGAAGATAATGCTCGTTGATTTACAAACACTACTGCCTTAAAGGTGCTTTCGTAAGCATTCAAGGAAATTTCAAAATACCGTTTGATTCGTGGGAGTAGGTTATTTACCCTCGTGGCAAAAGGAACGCTGAGCGTAAGAGCGAGTAGGCTGAATCCAGCGAGCAACCAAGGCCTTTTATTGTGCAAAAGCTGTGGAAAGTTTTCCTCTAGAATCTGCATGACCGGTTCTGTTTCAATAGTCTGCAACAATGTATATGATCTTATTATGAGTGTTAACCCAGGATTACACCTTCTCATTATCTTGTTTTTATTTGTTTTGTTTTTTCATCATAATGAGTGTGAAAATTGTTTTTATGGCATGTTTTAGGTCTAAACAATATACAACATTTTCTCTTTAGGGGTGATTTCAATAATGCTTGTTCTTTGAAGCTCTTGCAAGCAAATATGCATTTTTATGATTACATTCGGAAATAAAGTAAGCTCTCTGGGCAATATTATCAAAGTTCAAGTTCAGATACACTCACCATGGCATCAATACCTGGCAGAAGCAGCGTGATGAAGAATAATACACACCACACCTGTGGCAAAGGGAGATAACTCAGCGCCTTAGGATAAGTAATGAAACCGATGGAAAATCCACCTACAATATTCGACACATAATAATGACACGTAGAGAGGAAATTGATATGTTAGACATCGGAAAAAGAAACAGCTATAACAAGGAATTTATTAATTTTCTGAAGAATAAGATACTAAATGATACCTCGCATCCAGTTTCCATGATTTCCACCAAAAAAATTAAAATACATACAAATTAAATGGTAACCGGATACCTCTTTAACGAGTACTTAAGAAAGCAGTGAAATTATTTCAAGAAATTTATTTGAGTTGTTTGCGTATTGGCGTTTTGTGGCTTTCTCTACGATGAAATTAGATTTTCTCTAAATGTCATATCTCTTATGTGATTCCAATCCCGAACGTTGTATATGATTGCGTTAACGCTAAATTGGTCACGAGAGACCGTAGCCGTAACCACTTTTAACCACAGCCGATACATTAGGTGTTGCAAATAGTACTGAAAATATATCAGGCTATAAGCCAACGGAAAGAGGGAAAGATGCAGTTTAAAGAAAAATTTACATGTATACACTTGAAACGGTATTATACTAATCAAATTATGCGTTGTAAAGAAATTTGTTTTTCTGTTTCATTGTTTCTCTTCTCAAATAAATGTCATGTGCAATAAAATGGCTTCATATGATAACAATTAAAAAAAAACAAAAAAAAAAACAAAACAAAACAAAACAAAACAACGCTGAACTCCATACAATGAAGGCACGGTTGAACTAATTCATTGCAATTCACTTGTTCCTCTTTCAGCACGACAATATATATAGATGATTATACTAATCTGTAAGATATAACAAAGCGATAATTAAAGACAATTACATCGATGGCGTTTTATGATTATGAAAAATACAAATATCTGATGGTGATGATTGTCATTATATAAACTGACCGGAAGTAACAGCACTGGTAATTGGTACGTCGGCTTCCTTCGCCATGACACCTAGGACGGAGAAGACGACTAAACCATTCAGCATCCCGTACAGTAGAGTCAAAATGGTAGTTCCTATAGCCGCTCTGTTACG